CAAGCTGCAACCAGAAGAAGATATTTGCAAATCTCATACCTGGCAAAGGACTATTTAAAGAGTTCTTAAAAGTTAATATTAGGAAACCAAACAACTCATCAAAGGAAAAGAATTGGCAAAGGATGTAGACAGACATTAAACCCAAGAAGACATACAAGCTTGCCAGTGAGTAAGCCATGAAAACATATCCAGTGTCACTGGTTATAAAAATGAAGATAAATTCACAATGAGGATATACAATAGGCCTACAGAGTGTGGTGGCTAAATTTAGATGATACAGGCTAGAATCATCTGAGAAATCGGAACCTCAATTGAGAAAATGCTCTCCTAAGATCAGGCTGCAGGCAAGCCTATAGGGCATTTTCTTAAGTAGTGATTGATGTGGGAGGGCCCAGCCCATTGTGGGTGGTGCTATCCGTGAACTGGTGGTCCTGGGTTCTAAAAGATAGCAGGCCGAGCAAGGCATGAGGAGCAAGCCAGTAAGCAGCACTCCTCCATGGCCTCTGCATCAGCTCCTGCCTCCAGGGTCCTGCCCTGTTTGAGTCCCTGTCCTGACTTCCTTCAATGATGAATACTAATGTGGAAGTGCAAGCCAAACAAACCCTTTCCTCCTCAACTTGCTTTTGATCATGGTGCTTCATCACAGCAATAGCAACCTTGACTAAGACACTGAGTGTCGAAAAGGAAGATCATTGGCCTTTGATGATGGTTGGCAATGACATGCAGCAAGTCTCATGTATGGCCAATGGTAAGGAAAATGGCATAACCACATTGGGAAAAGAGCTCAGTGGCTTGAGACATCAAACATGTGACTATATGATGGAGCCACACTGCACTTATAGGTATTTATCCAAGAAAAATGAAAGCATAAATCCACACAGAGACCTGTACGTGAATGTTCACAGCTTTATTTATAATAGCCTCAAACTGGAAATACCCACCAACAAGTAAATGGATAAACCAATTGTGATATATCCAGCCACTGAATCTACCATCCTTAGCAATCAAATGTTATCTAAAAGATATGGCTATAACTTAACATTTTGGAAAATGAAATTGGATTTACTGTTCTATCAAAGCATATTCAGTATAACAGTGAAAAAAAATCTCAAATAGTTTCTCTTGTAATTTCAAATTAACCACTAGGGATTGGAATTAGTATCTTAATGAGTCCAGTGTCCATCAAACACTTCTGCTAAGAACTTCAGATTCATACCTCTACCCCTTGTCATAATTTATCAAAGGAGCTGTGTTGTTCCAGTTTTATAGGTGGGAAAAGTAAGGGTCAGAGGTCAAATAACGTATCCAACTTTACCCCCCTACAGAGCAGTAAAACAGAACCTTTAATGAATTGTGTACTGTTTACAAAATGAAAACCACACATCAGCAAGGCATCTGAGGCCTTGCAATGGATGGGCCAAGCCACCCGTCTGTATTTCAGGTCCATTGTTGTTGGTGTTGAACCGGTGTCTCCCAACCTCACATGGCTGTCCTCACACATGCTGTATCCTCACCCATGTCGGGTAAGTCCTATTCACCCTTCAAAGACCCACGCAAATGCTTTCATCTCCTTCACAATGGTTCTTCTCAGTCTCCCCTCCTCCCTCGCCCCGACCCTGTCCTCAGACACCTGTTATGTATGTACTTATCCTAGTCTATCTTTATTGCAATTGGCCTCTATATATAAATGCTCAGGCTGTGCTTCTTCAAGGATGAGCCTAGAATATTTGTCTCATATTCCCCACTTGACCTAAGACAATGCAGTAGTACCTACAGGCTCAAAAGTGTTTGTTGAAAAGCAAGGCACAGATGCTCATGACTCTAGTCAAGAACCTATTGTTAGTAACCCATAATATACCATAAAAATCCTTCCATCCTTCAAAGGTGCCCCCAACTCTGAATCTACCTAAAGCCACTAATTCCACAGGGACAGGGTAGGCAGACTTTAATGTCACTGGGGACTGACTTCATCTGTGATTGTACATTACTTCGGTACAGTCCTGTGTAACAATGAAAAGTATTGAAAGACCCTAACCCTTCAGGCTTACACCCCCAAGCCCCAGGAGAATACGGAACTAAAAAGAAAACTAGTTCCAAGGGCAACCTGACTCAGGCATGATTCAACCACCCCTGCCACAATGTAACAATGTAAAGAGATTTCTATTAAGAGGTGCGCTCAACTGTGACTGGGATAGTTGCAAGTGTTCCAGGAAGGGCCACTGTGACCTTTGTGTAAACTCCACTCCCGCCCTGATACCCCCCTTGAGGTTTCCGGAAGAATGTACATGCGGATGTGACTGTACCCACTCTATCTATGATCAGACCATGATCTTGTGAAACAAAATTGTATGGGAATTGTAATCTTACGGCTTTTGTGGGTTTTTCCTCTAAAAGTACCCATGTGATTGCAATAGGTGCGACTCTTGCACTTTGGAGCTGAGTTAGCCCAACTGTACAGCCGCATTAATAAACACCTCTTGCTGTTGCATCAACTGGATTGGAGTCTGGGTTCTTGGGGCGCCCCCTCGAGAAGGTAGTACCCTGGCTGGGGTCTATCAGTATAACTACAAAAATCAGAATGACTGAATTAAATATTAAGTGAAAATCGGAGCTTATATAGTAGATATTAGTCACCAATGCTTTACAAGATACTCATTGATTCACTCAATAGACATTTATTACTTCTTGGAGACTGCAATGAAGAATTAGTAAAAATACATGGTATTGCCAAATGGCAGTAAGTGGGATGGAGAAAAACCAAGCAGTCAAGGTGTGCCAGGACATCCATGAAGATGCCCAGGTAAAGTATCCCTGAGGAAAGAGCTCTGAGCATAAACTTCGAAGAAATCAGACACCCAAACCATAGTAAGGAAAAAATGAAAGATTGTCTATAGGGGGCTTATAGAATTACATGGATTACTCTGCCTTGATGAAAATAACACTGGACCCTCTCCGTGCGAGCAGATAGACACATTTAGGATAACCCTGGCTTGCTGGAAAGAGCAGAACAGGAGTGAAGGGTGAGAATGCAAACCACAGGGTCATTTTAGCTTGTCTCTGGTGAGGGCAGGGGAACCTAGTTCAAACAAGCTGACTCAGTCACCAGAACAAGGACGACACTAACTCCCTGAAAGAGTGAACAACCTATGAAAAGACAGAAGGAGCTGTAAAATGCACACTGAAAAGTAGGGAGTTGGGGATTTCAAATGGAGGAAAACTGGAAAGATAAATGGGGGAGCATGTTGAAAATGGTCTTCAATGACCACAGCCCTGGAACCACTGTGGCCATTTAAAACTATTTATTCAAGATTTTAAACTGGGATTGTGAGGTGAGTTTTCACTTTTGAAATGGTAACATGGCCTTAAAAAATGGAGACTGGACTGGACAGAGAAGGGACGGCCAATCAACTAACATAGGGTGGGTATTCCAAAAACATTTACTAACTGGATGAGACTATCTCAGAGGAGAAGTGAGTCTCTCCACCCCTGCTGCATTTTAAGGCAACAGAGTATTGCGGTCAATGAACTGTCTCCCAGTTGTTTTTGGGCCTGTTAGTTTTCTGAAATCGAGGGTAGCAAGAAGATGAAGTTGCACAGCTCTGGAGTCAGTCTCAGTGGAAACCCATGCCTGACACTTTCTGGTTGTGATCTTGAGACAGTGACTTAAGGTCTCTCCATGCCTCACTATAAAATATTGTTCTGTACCCCTCACGGGACTGCAGAAGACCAAAAATGAGGTGATATACCCAAAAGAAACAGCACAGTACCTGGCACACAGTAACCACCAATAAATACATATTTATGACCTACATTTGCTGCTCAGTATCATAAATATACATGATCAACAGGAACATTTGTTAAATAGGACAATAGCATTTTTCTACATTTGACCAAGAGGTCAATTCAATCACACTTTTTTCTATGAAGCTCAGAGACAGTTTAAAATACTAAACATTTCCTAACATTCAGTCATGTAAGTTAAAACTTCGAAGGATATTTAAAAAGCAACTCTTTCTAAAGACAAGATAGCAAAGGGCATTTCCATAATGGTTTGAGTCACCGGTAGACACAAAACTCATTTGACATTTCTTTGAAGACTGATCTTGTATAAACCCTAACTTCCACGTCACACTAAGCCTGAATTTTTTAAAAATGGACAGGATTCTGGGAAGGATAAGGCCATAACGATGCCGGACACCTGCCCGGTCCCAATCAGGTTAAGTGTTCCAAGTCCCAAGTAAGCATTTCTAAGTGCGGTGCTTTACAAGAAACAGTAGGTGAAGACACTGCCCCACGATTGCAGGCAGCTCCAGGAACCACACGCCCGGGGTCCAGTGTGCACTGCCCGCGGACAGCTCCCGGCTGGGGTGAACAGACCCCGGCGTTTCTTCAACAGCAGCGGGAGGCGACAGGGGCGGCCGGGGCCAAAGTCGCCTCCCCCGTGGGTCGGCCCCGCATTCCTGCCCGGGTCTATACTTAACCTCCGGCCCGCGCCCCGAGCCGCCGTGCCCCGCCGTGCACCGTATTAGGCAATGCCCAGCGAGCGGCGGCCGGCCGCCCCGCCCCGCTCCATTCAACCCTGTTGCGCCCCTCCCCCACCGCTCCGCGAGCGCGCCCCCGCCGCACCGCGACCCCCCCAGGGGCCCACCACGCGCGTTCTCGCTCTATGCGCCCCGGACGCGCGCCCAGAGTGCTCCGACTGTAAGCGGCCGAGCACCTGCGCTCCCGCTCCATGTGCGCCCGCGGCGCCCCGACCCCCCCCCCACCCGCCCAACACGCGCGCTCTGGCTCCTTAAGCCCCCTCGCCGCGCGCCTCCGCCTCGACCCCTTCTGTGTTTTCCCCTCGCGCGCTCCCGTCCCACCCCATGCGCGCGTCCTCCCCGCGGCTCGACCCTCCCAGCAGCCCCGGGAGCGCGCGCTGTCCCGCGTCCCCGAGCCCGGAACGCGGAGAGATGGCACAACTGCGCGCGGCGCGTGGCGGGACCTTCGCGCGCACGTACCCGGCGGTCATGGCGATATTGTAGAAGGTGAGCCAGGCGGTGGCCAGGAAGCCTAGACGTCTCCGCTTGCCCGGGGCTTCCTTCTCGTCGCCGGCCTCGGAGGCACCGTTGGTGCCGTCCTCCTCACTGGACGCCATGGTGACCGCGCACGCTGGCCTGGAGGAGCAGCGCACAGGAGCGGGAGGGGCCGGCTGA